CACACACACACACACACACACACACACACACACACACACACACACACCAGTAGCTCTGCTGGGCACAGGCCTGTGGGCTGTAGGATTAATAACCACTCCCAGAGTCGTTTTGTGTTTCTTGACAAGAAAACTTCCCCCTAGAGCAACAGTAAGGATCCTTCCAGCTGTTAACTTCTGTGACAGAGTGTTGAACTCAGGAGAGGAAATAACAAGTTGACAGTTTACAATAAAAAGGAATAGAAATCTCTGTGGCTCCCGGTTAGTCATTGTAGCCTGTGAAGGGACAGAACCGGAGAGAATTAGGATCAGAGTGTGAGTTATTAGATGACCAGAGCCGAGTTAGTGTCATGGTGGCTGACTGGGGGCTGGAGAGCTGGGAGAGCAACAAGATGCAGCTGCAGTGGGAGGCCGCGTGCCCAGCCCTGTGTCGAGTGACTAGTGCAAGTGAAAGGCTGGAGCCTGATGTCCTCCGACACAGAATGGTGGCAGGAGAAAATCCAGGTCGGCTACATGGCTCACAACATAAAGGTGACTGCTGCCAAGCCTGAAACTGGAATTAGATGTTTAAGACCCACATGGTAGGTGAGAAATGACTCCTTCTGATTGTCTTTTAACTTTCTGATACACACAATGACACATATGTGCCCCCTCCACAGCAGGGAGAGTAATTAAACTCAAACACACACAAACACACAAGAAAAATCACTACTACCATGGAAAAGCACCTTGGCAACATTTCCCAAGGAAGCTGGGGTGAAAGGTGCAGGGCTGACATTTTGTATAAAAAGACAGCCTGTTCTTAAGTAGAAAATCTAAATTACACTGAGTGATGCAATCACGTTAACATTTTCTCCTAGGACTTTGTGCCCTATTTTAGTAACAAAAGATCAGCTGTTCCCAACTATGCCCTTAAAATCAGCTTTCAAAAGAAATCAAGGGAATTTCTAAAATACTGGGGGCAGGGGAAGGAAGAGCTTGCCCTTATAAGGCTCCAATAACTTCATTTGGAAAGCAATTTCATGTGTTAGAGAGGTAATTCTCTCCTTGTCTGTGTGACAGGTTCACAAGAATCTAACATATTTATCTAGCAACTCAAACAAGCCACAATACTGCTGTGGAGTGTGGCAATTTTAGGTGCATTCAGGATGAATGGGCTGCAAAGTCCTGTGATGCATTTATTTATTTTTCCTTCTTTCCTATAATTTTGAAATTCTAAACAAAATCATCCAATTCTCTTACTCTGGGGCCCTAACACAGCATGGACTTCTGAGCCTCCCTTTATTGAAATGTGCTCTTTGACTTGCTAGCTATAAACTGCCAGCTTGGGAAGAATAAACAGGGAACGTTGGACTGTGTTGAACAAGGACAAGTGATTGGCACCACTCCACAGGAGGAAGAAATGCACAGGTTGCAGGAAGGTGATGATGGTTTTCACAGAAACAGACTTCCCAAAGCGTTCTCTAATCAAAATCTCTTGCCCTGCAGTATTTTAAGAGGTCCTTGTGTTTTTCACATGATATAAAAAGGCTCCCTGGTTTTAAAAGAGGGGATGACAAATCTTAGCCTTACTGATCTCAGTTGGCCATATTTGTTATTCCAGAATTGGGGAGCAGTGTTGGTGAATCTTTTTGGTCTATTTAAATTTTGTTTCTTATGCCTCTACCTCCCTTCTCCACCCCTTTTCCCTCCTAATAATACCTACCTAATAATACCCCAACAACAGGCTGGAAAGGGAAATGGTTAGTGGGGAAAGGGATGTAGGTCTCTTTAGATTTAGCTACCTCAGTTAGGGTCATTGAGTTCTTTGGGGCCATACCAATCTCAATCATCAGGATATCTAGTGGTCAGCAAACCATCAACACCAAACACAGTGGATAAGCCAGCAACAACATGGGGAGCAGCAGCCTTCTTCTTTCTTGGAGTCCCTAGCTCTCCCCTGCTCTGATATTTATACCCTGTCTGAGTCCTCAGAATTCCACTAACTGCAGCTAGCAAAGACCACTCCCCCTCCCAGTCCCACCAGGCAATTATCAGCTGTGGATAAACTAAGGCATGCCCACATCCCACACTTGGGATTAAAACAAAAACATATTTATATAAGCATAACTGAGTTTTGTTTTTGTTTTTTTAATTTAATTTATATATTTATTTATTATAATTTATTTACTTGGTATCCCTGCTGTAGGCCCCTCCCTTGTCTCTCCCCAGTCCTACCCACCCTCCCTCTTCTCCCCCTATGCTGTTTCCCTAGTCCCCTGGTAGAGGAGGACCTCCTCCCCTTCTATCTGACCCTACCTTATCAGGTCTCATCAAGGCTGGCTGCATCATCTTCCTCTGTGGCCTGAAAAGGTTGCACCCCCCAGGGGGAGATGATCAAAGAGCCAGCCACTGAGTTCATGTCAGAGACAATCCCTGTTCCCCTTACTAGGAAACCCACTTGGAAACTGAGCAGCCAACAGGCTTCCTTTGAACAGGGGGTCTAGGTCCTCTTCATGTAAGGTCCTTAGCTGGAGTATTGGTCTGTGCAGGACCCCCTGGGCCCAGGTATTTTGGCTCTGTTGTTCTTGTGGAGTTCATGTTCCCTCCAAGGTCTTTCTACCTCCCTTTTCTTCCATTAGGATTCTGGCACTCTGCCCAAAGTTTGGCTATGAGTCTCAGTATCTCCTTTGATATCCTGGTGGGTAGGGTCTTTCAGAAATCATCTGTGGAAGGCTCCTGTCCCATCCCTTGTCTTTTACTTCCAATGTCTATCTTGTTTGCCCTTCTGAATGTAGATTAAGCATCTTCCCTAGGGTCTTCCTTGTTGTTTAGCTTCTTTAGGGCTATATATTTTAGTTTTATCCTATATTATATGGCTAATATCCTCTTAAAAGTGAGTATATATCATATGTGTCTTTCAGCTTCTGGGATACGTCACTCAAGATAATCTTTTCTAGTTCCCAACATTTGCTTGCAAATTTCATAATTTCTTTGTTTTTAATTGCTGAGTAGTATTCCATTGTATGAATGTACCACAATTTCTGTATCCATTCCTTAGTTGAGGGACATCTGGGTTATTTCCAGCCTCTGGCTATTAGGAATAAACTGCTACGAACATGGTTGAGCAAATGTCCTGTTGCATACTTGAAAATGTTCTGGATATATGTCTAGGAGTGCTATAGCTGGATCTTGAGGTAGCGCTATTCCTAGTTGTCTGAGAAAGTGCCAAATTGATTTCCAAAGTAGCTGTACAAGTTTACATTCCCACAAGCAGTGGAGGAGGGTTCCCTTTCTCCACAACCTCTCCAGCATGTGTTGTCACTTGAGTTTTTTTTTGTTTTGTTTTTGTTTTTTTATCTTAGTCCTTCTGATGGGTGTAAGGTGAAATCTCAAGGTTGTTTTGATTTGCATTTCCTGAATGACTAAGGATGTTGAGCATTTCCTTAAGTGTTTCTCTGCCATTCTATATTCCTCTGTTGAGAATTCTCTGTTTAGCTCTGTACCCCATTTTTTAATTGGATTACTTGGTTTGTTGCTATTTAACTTATTGAGTTCTTTATATACTGGATATTAGCCCTTTGTCAGATGTAGAGTTGGTGAAGATTTTACCCAGTCAATAGGCTGTCATTTTGTTCTGATGACAGTGTCCTTTGCTTTACAGAAGCTTTTCAGTTTCATGATGTCCCGTTTATTGATTGTTGATCTTAGAGCCTGTGCTGCTGTGTTCTGTTCAGGAAGTTGTCTCCTGTGCCAGTGAGTTCAAGGCTCTTCCCCAATTTTTCTTCTAATACAGTTAGTTTGTCTGTTTTATGTTTAGGTCTTTGATCCACTTGGACTTTAACTTTGTGCAGGGTGATAAGTATGGATTTATTTTTATTTTTCTACATGGAGACATCCAGTTATACCAGCACCATTTGTTGAAGATGCTGTCTTTTTTTCCATTGAATGGTTTTGGCTTCTTTGTCAAAAATTAAATTTCTATAGTTGTGTGGGTTTATTTGTGTGTCTTCGATTCTATTCCATTGATCCACCAGTTTCTTTCTATGTCAGTATCGTGCCATTTTTATTCCTGTTGCTTTAGTACAGCTTGAGATCTGGGATGGAAATACCTCCAGAAGATCTTTTATTATACAGGATTATTTCAGCTATTCTGGATTTTTTTGTTTTTCCATATGAAGGTGAGAACTGTTCTTTCTTGGTAAAGAATTGTGTTGGTGTTTTGCTGGGAATTGCATTGAATCTATAGAATAAGTTTATTTTTTCTTTCATTTTTATTTTATGTGTGTGTGTGTTCCTGCATGTATGTTTATGCATCACGTGTCTACCTGATGCCCAAAGAAGGCATGGAATTTCCAGGAACTGGAGTTAAAGACAGTTTTGAGGCATGTTGTGGATTCAAGGAACCAAATCCTGGTCCTCTGCAAGAGTATCTAGCAAGAACTCTTTAACCAATAATAAGCTGCCTTTCTATCTAAATGCATCCATTCCTTCCCTTTCTTCCTTTCCCTTTTTCCTTCCCTTTCCTACCCTCTCACTATACTTGAGAAGAGCTTCCACAGAAATTAAAATAAGCAATCTAAATGAACAAAGGAATTTGTATTTCTTTCTTTAACAAACAAGAAACAACTGAAAGTCATTATGATGTATTCTGGAAGGCATATTTTTATTTCAGTGGAACTAACATCTTCTTTGAAGTCTTTAGAGAGAAACTGGAAGCTCATCCGTGATGAAGGCCTCATGGTGATGGATAAAGCCCAGGGTCTCTTCCTGCCTGAGGATGAAAACCTGCGGGAGAAGGGGGACTGGAGCCAGTTCACACTGTGGCAGCAAGGTGAGATCTTGGCTCCTAGATGGCCTTTCTCATGCGCAGATGACAAGTGTTTTCAGTTTTCTTCGTCTCCACTGTTAAGTGGTGCACTATTTACCGTACTCTACCGTGTGTGTGTGTGACTGGAAAGCCAACCACACCTGTCTCTGTCTCAGAAAGGAGTGCCTCTGAACTGTAGCCACTGCTGTAAAATGCAGGTGATGCGGTGGATAAAATGATGCCAGCATGGGTGTGAGCTACTGCGAAGGATAAAGTTGTTGTTGTTTTATGTTGTGACTCTTTCCTAGTTCCTCACTCATAACTTTCTTTCTGCTATTGTTCTTCCTGTTGATTTTTAATTGTCCCGGTAAACATTTTGGTTAAAATGCCTTAGTAAATTTGTTACATTCTTTATTAGTATAAGCAGATAAGGTTAATGATATTCGGCTTCAGATGCCTAATCTGTACCGTGTGCTATTTTTTACTAGAGTTATTAAGAATGCCGAATTTATGTCCTGATTTTCATTTTGAATCAAATTTAATATGTGAGTGAGTATATGTGTATGTGTGTGTTTGTGTAAGTGTGTAACAAGCATGTGTTTTTTGTTGCTTAAACCATTCAGTTTGTGTATTTCATTACATAGCTCCAGTACATCTGTAGAGTCTCTAAGTAATATGATTGATATTGAACTGTGTGTGTGTGTGTGTGTGTAAGAGAATGTGTGTGAAAGTATATGTGTGTGTGTATATGTGTAAATAAGTGTATGTGTGTAAGAGAGTATGTGTGTATATAAGAGAATGTGTGTGTGAGAGAAGGAATATATGTGAGAGTACGTGTGTGAGAGAGTATATGTGTGTGAAAGAGAACGTGTGTGGATAAGAGAGTATGTGGGTAAGAAAGTTGTGTGTATATAAGAGTGTGTATGTGTAAGAGAGCGTGTGTGAGAGAATATGTGGTTGTGAATGAAAGAGAATGTGTATGTGAGGGCATGAGTTAGTGTGTTACAAGGATTTAAACCCAGAACGTCACATATGTTAGGCAAATGATGTACCACCACGCTTTGTTCTCAGCAACTGTATTCCTTTTTGAATGATCAACTTTTTATTATAGTTTTGTTATGTAAAACATTATTTAAATATATTTTGATCCTAGTCTTCCCCTCCCTTGAGTCCTTCCAGGCCCTTTCCTCCTTCCTACCCACCCAACTTTAAGTTCTTTCTCAAAAGTCAAACAAAAATCCAAAACCAACCAAATCCCCCAATTCAAGAGAGCAAAATAAAACAACACCCCTCCCCCAAACAACACCAAACTGTAACCAAACACACACACATACACACACACATACACACACACACACACACATACACACACACACACACACACACACACACGCAGCTTGTGGTTGGTCAGCTACTCCTGAACATTAGGCCTTCCTTGGAATGGTTGATATACCTAGTGTCACTCCATTGGAAAAAACTGATTTTTTTTTCCCCTCTCCTAGCATGTATAAATGACAGTTCTGTTGTTACCATTCACTCTAATGGTTAAGTTTTAATTCTTTTATTTATTCATTAATTTTTTTAAATATATAACAAGATAAAACAAAATCTATCACATTGAAGCTGAGCAAGGCAAACCGACAGAACGGAAAGAGCCCAAGAGAAGGCACGAACATGAAAGACACACTTGTTTGCTCTTTCAGGAATTCTATAAACACATTGAACTGGAGGCCATAATACAAGAGGACCTGGTTCAGGCCCATGTGAGGGGTGAGGGCTGCTTTAGTCTCTGCGAGTGTATATGTGTTTATATTCTGTGAGTTGTGCTTATGTTGGTTTATAGGGCCTTTTATTCTTGGTGTCCACCATCCTCTCTGGCTCATAGTCTTTCTCCCTCCTCTTTCACAGGGTTCCCTGAGTTCTAAGGAAAGGGACTTGATGGAGACCTCCCATCTGGTGCTGGGTGTTCCAAAAGCTCTTTCTCTGACTGTGGTTCTCTGTATTTGTTCCCATCTGGTGCAGGATGAAGCTTCTCTCTGGGTGACTAAATAAGGCACTGATCCATGAGTGTAGCAGAATATCATTAGGAGTCATTTTATCACTACATTTTTTTGTCTTTAGTTTAAACCAGTATTACTTGGTTTTTGCCCTAGATCCCTGGGCTTTCTAGTCTCTAGATCCTGGTTACCCAAGCAGTGTGGGTGCGAGTTCCATCACATGGAATAGGCCTTATGTCAAATCAGTTATTGGTTGGTTACTCCCATAAGCTTTGTGCCGCCTTCAGCATGTCTTACAGTGAGTAGATAAAGGGGTTGTGGTTGACGTGTTGTTTACGTGTTTATTTTGATAATGTGGAAAGTACTTTCCTGTGCCAGAGACTCTAGCAGGTAGGGGCAAAGGCTCTATATAGGCGATGGTTCAACATCTCAATGTTCAATGAACTGTGTAGGTGCTGTTTCAGCAGTGAGGTCTTGCTGTCTGTTTGTGGGGAGCCACCAATAGTCTTGGCAAGAGCCTGAGTTGTTTGGGGATTTCTGTCCAGCCCCTTTGGCCAACAATTCAATTAGATGTAGCCTAATCCCAATTACAGGAAGCTTCATTTGGTGGCAAGAGATGGCCAGTTGAAACTCTGTCTCTCCATTACTTGTATATTTTTTTCAGGAGATTCCTACCGTATTGGATTTCCATACTATCCCTCAAATGCCCTTTAGGTTTTCCTGTCACTCCATTTATTCCCTCTCACAACCTGCTCTTGATCCTCCCGTTCCAGCCCCCATCTCCCAATTCATCTATATCTGTTTGTTCTATTTCCCTTTCCTAATCATCTATCTGTTCTCTTTAGTCCCTTACTCTATACATAACCTCTGTGGGTCTATGGATTGTAGTTTGGTAATCATTGACTCAGCAGCTAATATCTGCATATAAGTGAGTTCATTCCATTTTTGTCTTTCTGGGGTTATGATACTTTACTCACTCAGGATGATTTTTTTTTTCTAATTCCATCCATTTATCTGTGAGCTTCATGATTTCATTTTTTTAAATGGCTGAGAGGTACTCTATTGTGTAAATGGACCACATTTTCTTTATCTATTCTTCTGTTGAGGGACATCTAGGTTGTTTTCAATTTCTAGCTATTATGAATAGAGCAGCAATAAACATAGTTGATGGTAAGATGGGCTTCAAGAATTACGTAGCTGGATCTTGAGGTAGATTGATTCCCATCTTCCTGTGGACTACTCTACTGATTTTCACAGTTAGAGGGGTTTACACTCCCACCAGCAGTATGTAAGTGTCCCCTTTCTCCACATCCTCTCTATCTTGAGTTGTCACTTGTTTTGTTGATCATAGCCAATCTGACTGGAATAATGATGGACTCTTAAAGTAGTTTTGATTTGCATTGCCCTGATGGCTAAGGATGTTGGACATTTCTTTAAGTGTTTTTCAGCCATTTTAGTGTCCTCTATTGATAATTCTGTTCAGCTCTGTACCCCATTTTTGGATGGGTCATTTTCTTGATATCTGATTTTGAGCTCTATATAATTTGGATATTAGCCCTCTAATCAGTTGCATAGTTAGTAAACACCTTTTTCCATTCTGTAGGCTGCCACTTTGTCCGAATGATGGTGTGGCTCAGCCATTAAAGGCTAGACTCAAAACCAAAATATAAGAATGATCAAGGTTTTAGCATTAAAGAATGCTAGAGTTGACAGATATATTTTCTTCACAAATAAGGTTGTAAATGGCTACCTGCAGGACTAGGGGCCTGGGTCAGTGTCACAACACTAGCCTGGGCACTACAAGGCCCTGTGCTTGCTCTCCAGAATGCTAATAAACTACTACATGACTACTGTTAAACGTGTGTTTTGCTCACAAGTTAAACAATTATTGCCAACCATGACTAAAATACGAAGGAAGTATGCTGCACATGTTTATTCTGGAGCCTCAGGGAAACAGTGCTAATGGATCGTCCGTCACTTCTGGATGACTGAAGCTTTAGGTCCTCTGCGATCTGCTTGTGGCCCAGGATAGAATGAGATTGGCAGCCATATTTTAATGCCTTGGGTTTGGGAACAACAGGCACAGTTTACACTGTTGTGCTGGGTAGCCACTATTCATTGATCAGTGTTATCATGAAGAATGGATTGTCCTCTCTGTAGAATCTTGAACCATAAGAAGAATATACCCAGGTCTCTAACTCCGTGAATATACCTGATAAAGTCACATGCAAGCATTGTATTATTCTTTAAATCTGCATTGCCTGCTAGCTCACTTTCCTGTGCCATTTTCCCAAAGAAACCAAGTTTGGACTTATTGAGAATTAACTTTGATGACAAACAATGAAAATGCCAGCAAATCCATTGTATTACCAATGCCAGGCATTCCTTTTTCAATTACAGAGTCAACTGAATGCCTCCTGCCTTATAACCCATGATGTAACAAAATGAGGAAGCATGCTTTGAAGCATAGGATTTGGAAATCATTGTCCTTGGTTATAGTCCCAAATGTATTTTCTCTTACTCTATCATGTGGTCATACCCTGAATCTCATTGAAAAGACTAATGAAAAATAACTGTGTTGAGTATGAACTAGTTCCACCATCAGTGACTAGTGGGGAGCATTGACTATATGACAGTGATTCTGCAGGGTTGCTGAGTAATAGGAACTCATCTGTAATAGGCAATAAAGAGGTGGTCTTGAGGCCTGCATTAGTCAGGGTTCTCTGCAATAATAGGAATATATAGAAAGTGCACTGTGTATGTGTGTGTGTGTGTGTGTGTGTGTGTGTGTATTTGGTCCATGACAGCTCCATTGGAATTCTCAATTCTCTGCTCTCCTATTTACTGTGTAATCCTTCTCTATGTCAGCTTGTCCTTTGTGTAATAAGACCTAAGTGCCTGCCTTCTTGGGCACAGTGAACATTTCTCTCTCTCTCTCTCTCTCTCTCTCTCTCTCTCTCTCTCCATATGTGTGTGTATGTATGTATGTATGTATAATAAGACCTAAGTGCCTGTCTTCTTAGGCACATTGTACATAATACATCATCACTCTAAGGATCTGACCGTGGTAAGCATGATGGAAATTTTGTGCTTACTGGACCCATCCAATCACATGTGGATACTTAAAACTATAGGTTTCGAGTTGCAGATGTTGAACTGCTACCACACAACCTTCTCCTGAGAGATAATCTGTATTTTCCGACTACAGGAGAAATACAAGGTCTACCCCTGATGCTTGAGACCAGAAATATGTCAGGTTACAGAGTTTTTCTGATCTGGCAATATTGGCATGGACCTTGCCAGTTGAGTGTTTATGATCAAAGCATGGTCTAGACCTGAGGTCATTTGAACACCATGCCCAAAAAGCCCAGTTAGTTTCAGATTGTGCATATGTAGATTATTGATCCTCACTTCTTATGTGCCTAGAGGTCTCTAACCCAGACCTGACCTGGGACCCTGGTGACAGGAACCACTTGGTAATCTTGGCACAACTGATCAATCAAGTGTTGCACGAGCTCAGGCTTCACCAATGTGCTGAGGAAAACCCAGCTGCTCTGGTGGCTTCTCCAGCCATGAGACCTCACCCAGCCCCAGGCAGAGCAGCATAGGCCATAGCTGATGGTCTCCTGCCAGCAGCTCTCTCTAAACCTTCCACATAGATGCCCTGGAAATCCAAAGCCTAAAGGTGTGGTATGAGCCAGGCGTAGTGGCGCACGCCTTTCATCACAGCATTGGGAAGGCAGAGGCAGGCCGATCACTGTGAATTCAAGGCCAGCCTCATCTACAAAGTGAATCCAGGACATCCAAGACTATACAGAGAAACCCTGTCTCAAAAACAAAAACAAAACAACAACAAAAAGTATGTTATAATAGCTTATACATTTGTATGTATAAGCTATTATATATTGTATGTATATCAAACTATACAAACTATTTCCTAAGTCTAGAGGTCCACTTCACTGGGGCAGAAGTCATAAAGCTCTATCTCTTAGAACTTACTTTGTTCTTAGCATAAGATTATCTTATGGTACATTAACATTAAAGTCAAACTCATCTTTAGATGTAGCTTCTTTTATAGGAATTTTGAACAGGAAAACAAAAATTTCTGTCTTAAAAAAAAAACAAAACTATTGTTTAACTCTTGCACAAGAGCTAGTGCTACTGCATGCATTCTGAGCCTCTCTTCCCAAGAAGAGTGTGGAGAATGTGACGTGGGCCAGGATGCTGAAGATGATGTCTCAGAATCTGTTCTTGATACAGTTACTCATAAAAATACCTTTGCTTAAAGATCCTCGTGCTCTTCATTTTAATGTCATTTTATCAACATTTAAAGATTCTTAATACATTGAAAAATACACCAAATTCCAACTCAGAATGTTTTGTTATCTCTTAGAAATGCACTTCAGATTAGGCATAGGATATAAGGTATCTTCCTTTCTTACAGGCTGTGTTGATTTCTGGTATGTGCTATAATAAATTAGTACAAACTAGTGGCATGCATGGCTCAGAAGTCTGCAGTGAGTTTCACTGGCTAAAACCAAGTTGTTATCCTTCAAGAGGCTTCAGATTTTAGAATCTGCCTGTGGTTCTTGTCTTATGTCCTTCCATCTCTAAAATCAGCAATGGCTGGTCAGTCTTTTACAAATCACTGACTCTTTTCTCTCACTTTTGCATACAAAAGGGCCTTATGATGACATTGGCCTCTGTCTTTCTCTTGGCCTTCACATTCCAACATTGAAGGTGATTATATCAGCACCTGTGGTCCAAATGGGATAAGATAACCTTTTACTGTAGTTTGGTTGTGTGTGTGTGTGTGTGTGTGTGTGTGTGTGTGTGTTTCAGGACAGTCTCACTATGCTGATCAGGTTGGCCTTGAACTCCTAGTTAACTTACAGGGTAGCTGGAACTTACATGGCACCTGTGATTTACTTCTCACAATGGTTTTATCGTGTTTTGTTCCAGGAAGGAAAAATGAGAATGCCTGTAAAGGAGCTCCAAAGACCTGCGCTTTACTAGAAAAGTTCTCCGAGACAACAGGATGTAGGAGAGGACAGGTACCAGGGGTATTTTCAGAGATGGGAAGAACACAGTCTGTTGTCAGGAAAGAGACAGAACTGACCTTTACAAAAATCACAGTTATTTCCCATGGCACATTGGATGTCTCTTTTTCTATTCACTTTTAATGAAACATAATTTCATGGGGTTTATGTCCGAATTTGAAGGTGGAAAAATGTTCAGTGTTAAGACAGTTTTTGGAAAATGAGAGGGCTTGCTTTTTACCTCCTTAACAATGAACTAGGATATTAACCTAAGTCCCGAGGGTTACAAAGATTCATATGAATGGATACCGATTCTGCTGCTTCTCTATGCCTCGATAGATGGGTGATTGGGTGTCATACTTTCCATGCAGATCAAATACTCCATCATGCATCCTGGAACTCATGTGTGGCCACACACAGGCCCCACAAACTGCAGGCTCCGAATGCATCTAGGATTGGTGATTCCCAAGGAAGGCTGCAAGATCCGGTGTGCCAATGAGACCAGGTGTGTTTCCTTGTCATTTTCTTTTTTACCCATCACCCAACAAGAGGTGTTCCTTACGGAAAGTCTGTATTCAGTGGGATCATGCCCTTTTTCTGTAGTGAAGGAGATAGTCGACAGAAGTGAAGTGACTTGCATCCAGACTTGAGTGTGTGGCCTTCTTTGTGCTTCCTGAGAGTGTAAAGATGCCGTTCAGAGTCAGGGCGGGTCTCTGCCATTTAACCCCAGAGCATTCCTTGCCTGTCCAGTCTCCTTGTGTCTTTTGAGTGGACAAACCTTGCCTCCAAAGTCAATTCCCTTGCCTTTAACTCCCCACATTGTACATTGTGCTATAGGTTCCGCAGCATTTATTATGCAGGTATATAAGAATTCTTCTTTGAAGAAGTCACCGGTGTTGTTTGTGTTTTGCTCTGGAGGTGACAGCAGCACCATTTCTATCACTATGTGACCTTGACTAGTCACTTAATCTCCTTAAATCACAGCTTTCATGCTTTTAAAATTGGTAAGAAAGCTGGCTCTGCAGGGTTGGCATGATCATAAGAAGCTCTCAATCCTCCACCTGGCATAGGCAAGGCCATGGTGAATGTCAGGACTCCACTTCCTGCTTGCTCCTTTTCTGATTACAGCAGCTGACTCACCCTCTTCGAAACAAGCCTCATTTGCTAAAGCCACACTTAAACAAGCTTCACAAGCTCTGGGTTTGGGGAGGAGTTACCTAGATACTTCTTTGCCCTAGGAGTCTTTCTATCTATTCGAAGTACTAAGACCCAGTCTCAGTTCATAAAAATAAGACCTACAGTTTGACATCTCAAGCCAGGTGCAAAGTGCGGGCCTCAGTGGTCCTTCTGGTCAGCTGTCATTGCTGTTAATGTCTGCTAGCCTGGTGATCATGCTGAATGGAAGCTCCTCAAGATGAGAAACCAAGGTATTATCTTCTTCTACGTTCTTTATCAACTCTGTAAGGGGCCAGAATGGAGGGTGAGACGAATGTTATGGGACATATGATGGTGGGTCACATGGGGCTTCCCTCTCCCAGACATACATGAGCAGGAAGACTGTAGCATTGATTCTCCATGAGCCCAAGGCGAGCACAGGTCAAAGGTTACAAATGGGTCATTGGGCAGGATCTCTCTTGCCCCTAAGGTTTGGGAATCTTGGATAGTGCTTTGTTGTGTTCTTATACTTTGCTTCTTTGTTTGTTTTTACACAAAAGGGTTATGGGTATTGAAAGCTGGGAGGGAAACATTCTGAAACATGCAAAAATTTAAAGATGCCAAATCTTAGGAGCACTGTGGTTCAGCAGCCAAGACTAGAGAGCACGTGGGGAGTTAGGTAGGAGAGTGAGTGTGGCCAGGCAATAGGAAGAAAGCTTCTGACAGCAAACTTACAGGCTTAGTTCACCTTGGGGAGCTGTTCTCTGAAGGGAAGAGAGAGGAGCACCATCAGTAGCTGACACAATGAAATGTTCCAAAGTGAAGAAGAGTGAAAGTAATGGAGAATAAAGGAAGTGGAAGACAGGAGAGCACCGACTCGGGGAAATCCTCAGTGCAATAGCTGAAGGAGTCCAAGATGGCTCTCCACTTTCAGTCTTCAGCAGGAAGGTGCTTGTATCTGGATGGACACATAGTGACCACTGGAAATGTATGAGGCAAGTATAGAGAAAAGAGAATGAATTTAGTGTTTGTGCATATTTTACTTAGTTGCCATTGGAATACAGGAGGAATGTCAAGGAGCTGGCTGAAACTAGGATAAATAGAAGCCTAGCATTCAGGACCAAAGAGACGGAGACTTGAGAGTCAGGTTTGGTGGGAGCTTTGAAAGGCAGACAACTGAGTGGTGACAGAAATGAAAAGAAGACATGAGAATCTCTTGTGATGCTTTCAGAAATTTAGTATGGGTCTTCAGGGTCTCTCATGCCATGGGAGGATGGACAATGGAACCATGAGAATAGAAATATCAAGGTCTTATTCCTGATAACCAAATAGGGTCTTAGAACTTTCAACCATTTCCATGCATTTTTGTCTCTTACTCTCTACCTCTTTTCTCCCTTCAGTCCTTCTCTCCTTCCTTCCGTCCTTCCCTCCTTCCCTCCTTCCTTCCTTCCTTGCTTGCTTCCTTCTTCCTTCCTTCTTTCCCCTGTCTACTCTGCTTGAAGCTACCTGTAGCAAAATTAGTCAATTAAAAGTCCCTTTATGCCTAGGCAGGAAAGTGTGGTACTGAGCCTTGATCTCAGAGACCCTGAGGAAGAAGAAGAAACCTCAGTTTGAAGAATGGCTGTGGCAGGAAGGTAGGGGAGCAGGTGGGTAGAGCAGAGGTATACCCACGAAGCCTCTGAGAGTTCTGAATGTTCAGGAACCTTCCCTGGCATTGCCCATCTAGATGCTCCTTTGCATCAGATGCTCCAGTCTCTCCTGCCTGCACTTGAGGATGCCAGCCACTGTCACCCCACCCCCCGAATCTTCAACCACCCCTAGATTAATGCTTCTCACCTAACAGAGGTCTCACAGCTAACTTAGAGGACACTGGATAGGATAATAACTTGTAGTCTATCGGTTTCTGCTGAGATAAAAGACAGTCTAGTTCATTTGACACTAAGGAGCTGCTAACAACAGTAATTTGCAAGTGGTCTATTTTTGAAAATTTACAGTCATTATTAAGAAGTGTTCACCACCCATCTGCCTATTGCCAGGTTCTGGGCTGATTCTGCAGCGGAGCTGGGAGCATAGAGACCCTTGCTTCTCATAGTGGCTGCCCCTCAGCAGTCCTTCTCCATCTCTGGCCCTAGGCTGGGGTGCCTTCTCCTCTGTAATCTTTAACTCAATGGTGCTTAGAATGGATTTAGTATTTCACTGGCAAAATCGTGCTTTTCATAAGAGAGATTGGTTGTTTTAGCTAAAGTTCTGTGTTATGCTTGAAGTACAAATATCAGAACTGAACAGTAGGTAGTCTATAAAGATTTAGAATACAAAGACGTTCTAATGAAATCTGGAAGCCTTGTTCTGTGACCAGTTTTACAAGTACCAACTGTCAAAACAAGCACCCAGGGAAAGAAATCAGGCTTCTTTTCTCTAGGTGGCAGGCAGTGAGTTTTCAGAGCCTGACACCTGGCCTGCTGAAAGAATAGCTTACCCACAGCAGTTTGTTTGCTGGAGTTCCTAGGTCTTGATAATCAGATTTCTTCTTCCTTGGAACCATGGGATTCCCGCCAGGGTGTGAGTGCTTTAAATACTCCACCACTGCAAAACAACACCGTGCTTTGTTTTGTTTCTCTGACAGTGAGCTTGTGAAGTGTGTAACCTCTACACCTTAAAATACCATTTCAGATTTACAGATGCCTTCTGATTGCAAAATCAGATTGTGTGTCCCTTGGAAATAATTTATGCGGCACAGAGAAACACAACAGAAAGGATTGTCTTTGATCCTGTTACTCACAGGTATTATCCAGATGGTCCTTAGCTGTGCCGCCAGTATGCTCTTAAGGCCACATACAGCTGTGCCACAGCCAATTTTAAGCACATTAGGTACAACACTATTCCTAACAGTAATCCCAAGTAATCAGGCTTATTAAGATCCCCGTGCTACAATGGAGAAGACTAAGCTGTAAAAACAGACTGCCCCTAGTGACATTTTTTTCTAGTCTCTTTGGGAACTTGTAAATGGCCATGTGCCAAACGACAAAAGACAACAGAAGTTTGTTCTTCCAGAGTGTGGAATCAAGGTATTTTGCAGGACTTGATCCTCCCGAGGGCTCAAAGAGACAACCTGTCCCTCTCCTCATTTTGAGGCTGCTCCTTAGCCTTGACGTTCCTTGGCTAGTAGGTGCTTACCTACAAGCTCTGCCTCTACCTTCCCCTGTATCTTCTTGCTTATCCTTTGATACTGACACTATTGGATTTAGGGACCCACCCAGGCTGATCTTGTTTCAAAGGCATAAACTTGGCATCTGCAAAGACCTCGATTGCAGAATAACTTTCCAGCAGATATGATTTTTGTATTAACAGGTAGTCAGAAATAGGCTCCATCCTAGGTGTTTGTGACATGAACTGCATTCCTACACCCAAGCTCACAGCCTTGCTGAGACAGGTGAGGGGGGCCCACTTCTTCCTGGGTCACTGGGCAAGCATTAAGCCCTGACAAAGCACTGTTAAAATCTGTTAAAGTCACTATTAATATTGATGATGAGCTCATTATAGTCTAAGTACTCCTGGTGTCCACTTACCAGTACGTAAGCAAAAATGGTAGAGATGGAGGCTGTGACATTTATTGTTCCCTTTTCCTGCCATGGCTGCTACCTTAAGCAAAAGGACTGTCTATAGCCAGCCTGAGGGTGCTTATCCGGACCATCTGTCTGGAACACTATTTCGCTGCCTTCAAAGAGCTAAGTGATGACCACAATGATTACCCCAGCCCCTGGATGCTAAACAATTTGTACCAGACTTTGCTATCTCAAGTTTTGGTGAACTCTAGGTGTCCCTGCAACCGTTTGTACCCATGCCACTGAGGGAAGCACTTTGCTGGCTGTGAAGCAGCAAGACAGCAGTGGGTGGTGCTAAGAGGCCAAACCTAAGCAAGGCTCTTTGGCTAATTCAGCAAACTGGAATACAGCCCTCCGTGCTTCCTCTGGTATTGTAACATCAAGTCCAGTTCAAAAAAGGAAGTTTTCCTTGCCTACCCTTAGTAATGTATGCTGAGCTGGCAACACAGCTAGAAGCAATAGAAGACAGCAGAAGCAGAGCAGTTGCAGTGATTGCTGGGAGCAAGCCATGTTGGGGGAAGCCAAACTAGCCAACTCTCTGGCCTCTGAAGAAGCTTCTGGACACTTCAAAGTTGGCCAGGGCAGAAAAAAGGAAGAGTCACCAAAATAGAAGTAGAGAGGTGGCTAGACAGGGTGGAGAACTGACAGTGAGGATGGATCAAATGCTTGAAGGAGCCAGAGCAGAGAACCTGCATGCCCTTGTCACTAGAGAGCTAAGTGTGTGGGGCCAAGGGTCTCAGACCAGGCT